TTTTAAAATTATTCTTTGGACTTGGGCTCATTGTCAGCCCATCAAAAGAATGGTTATTTTAAGGTTGTTTGTTTGTTTATTTGTTAGTTGCAAAAGGCAGACAATATCTGAAGTAGAGCTCTGGGATGTCCTTAAAGAAGCCTCGAGAACTATTCCTGAATACTACTTAACAAAATTACAAGAAAACTTTTGTAAAATCGTTTGTATTTTGCTCCATACTGTATCCACATGCATGTTTGCACAAGTTTAAATAAATCACTGCACATATTTCCCATTTCCCCAGACAAATATAAAGATATGAGACACACGACTATCTCACAGTATAAGATGATGATATATTGCTCAGATATTAGATTAATTATTCCAGAATTATTGAATTATTTTTTTTAATTTTTGAGGCTGTTAAAACCTTTTTTGGCAGCTCCAAAATCAATTTAAGCAGGGAAAACTCAGATTTTAATACTAATATTGTAACATATGTTAAAAATATGATAGAGAGACTAAGCTTGAATAGCAGAAACCATATTGCAGTACATTTATTGGTGTAAATCCTTTTCAGGGTATACATATATTGTATTATTATATTGTAAAATACATTGTAATCTTTCATACATTTCTTTGAAATGGTGGCTGGTTCCACTGAATGTACAGAGGTTATTAACATAATATGTTATACACAGTGAAAATAAAATGAAAGTTTGCATATTACCCTAGAAATGTAACATTTGCTGTAAGATAAACAAATACAAACAAAATTAAACTTAAAGCAGACAGTGTTAAGTTCAACAATAAAACATCACAAACATTTTTCCCCATTCAGCATGTATTTTTGTGATATTAATGTGAACTTGAACAGACCTTAGAAAGTCGCCTATGAGTACGTCTACTTCGGGATGCGACCTCAAATACCTCTCGTTGTCGATTCTCGTCTTGATCTGGGTCAATGCGAAAAGCATTTCAGGACATAGCTTACAAATAAAGGTGGTATTTTAGCGTTGAGAAATGCAACACGTTACCTTAAATTGTCGCAGTTTCTCTTGCTGCTCAGCGTTTAGTACAGAGACGTCTAGCTTGGTCACACCGCCTGTCTCAGCCATCATTTCTCTAAGAAAATGCTATTTTTCTGTCTAAGTGCGAACCCTGCAGTGTGCACTGACTGCAAATCTACAGCGAACCCTGAAGTCACGATAAGCACGAGTCAACCGTTACTAACACAGTGGTTTGGCAGTAACGGTTGCTATGGAAACGAAGTACCGTACACAATGAACGGCAGTGTCCGCGAGGTGGCGGCATACGTCAATACCACGTTTGAGTCGTTGCTGTGCAAAAAAAGTGATTGACTACCAAATAACGATTTAATTCTCTCTCTCGCTTTTGAAATCGTTGATCTATTTGCTTAAATGGGCTGAAGTAAACATGATTTACAAAGGGGTTATATATTAAATGAAGAAATATCCTGCTTTGAAACCATCTTTATTACAATTCATCCAGCCCTTTTTGGCCACGTTACAGAACAGTGACACTATGTATGTATACCGTGCAATTTCTGTTGCCTTCTTGGCCAGATTTCTCTTGAAAAATAGTTTTTTTTTTTTTTATGTCAGTGACACTTTTAATTTGGAACCCCCTGCAAAACCGATTACATCTTCTATCTTGTAACGACAATGTTTTCTCCGGCTCAAAACGAGTTAGTATCATTCTTGACAGATCGATATGCTTGACATATTATATAGCCATCACGTGGATATGAAGTCACCAAAACTGCCCCACTGCTCCTTGCCCATCTCATTCTCACAATTACACCTTCACAACATCTTCTGACAGCCAACAGTTTTCATCAACTGTTTATACATTTGTTAAGCACTGTATGTGTTGGCATTGCCTACATATTACATATATATATATATGTAAATATTTATATCTCTTGGCATGTTACTGGGGTTACAGAAAATAATATATGTGGTAAAATGTAAATAAGGATTTGTGGTTGGACAGGATAAAAAAACAAAAACGAATCCACACATGTCCTCCTCCTCCTCACTTTATAAAAATGTCACACTATTAAGCATTAGTAAGGTATTAGCAAGTGCCTGATTTATCATTTATATATCATTACCCATTACCCCCTTAGTATGCCATTTAGACTTGCTATTAATTCTTAATAGTGTGACTTATTAAGAAGTGCTACTAATGTTATTTATTCTTATGTTTTATTGTTGTTTTTGTACTATTTTAACATGTTTAAAAATCTATCTATGCTGGTCTAGAAACATACAGCTTATTCAAAAGTAGCTCACATTTGTTTATTTGAAAGGTTCTCTTGCATTCTTATAACAGCAGGTGAACCATTTAAAGTCCACCACGTCACTGAAAAACTATACAAAATAAGTTGTTGTTTTTTCACTGTGCAATAACTACAAAAATCAAAAGCATGTTGGGGACTATGACTGTCCCAGTCTAAAATCCCAGGCAAACAGATGAAGTATTTACAAGACCTCAACCACTACTTCTGCAAACCCTGCATACATTATGAACACCCTGAAAGGAAACAATGTGATATATTTGATAACCTTTAGCAATATATACAAAATTCAGACAGGTCAGGTTGCTCAAAAATTGTAAATTATTTGACCTGCATAACACATATTTCAGTTGCTCTGATGCAGGACAGTAAACTCTACATAGCTTCAAACCTGGGACCTTCTTGATACGAGGTGATGGTGCTAACCATCAGACCACCATGCTGTGTCTGTGTGTGTTCTCTGACATGCATGGCAGGCTAGGTTGCGATTCTAAATTGGCCGTAGGTGTCAATGGTTATCTGTCTCTCTGTGTTAGCTCTGAGACACAATGACCACCGGTAAAAATGTAGCCTGCCTCTTGCTCTGTGTCATCTAGAAAATGGATGGTTAGATGGATGATGTAGAAAAGAGAAGGTAAAGGGCAACTCTTTGGACCAGTCACACAAAAAAAGTGTTTAAGAGGTATTTTAGGTATGAGATAAAGTTAGATAGATAAAGACAGATAGAAGTAAAGTCAGAAAGCTGCCTCTGACTTTGCTTCTTAAAGTTCAGTGGAGAACATCGTGCTATCTATAAAACTGGCACGGAACTGGAAAACAGTCCAACAGTGTAAGTTGCCACATTTTCTGCCTATAATTCTTCTTTCTGCACGGCTCTCATTCCCTCTGGAGGAAGAAATAACTTGTGTTGTTGAAGTGCTTGGCGTCTGTCATCTCTCTCAAAGGCTTTTGTTCCTCATTTTCTTCACTTTCGTTTTCATCACTTGGTGGGTGCTCTTTGTTGCTCTTTGTAGGGACAAAGGTCACCAAAGCTACTCCTTCTGGGGCAACCGGGACAGAGGGCGAAGGTTGAGATGAGTCATCACAGAGGGTGGTGAAATAAAGACTGTGCAGTTTAGAGATAAATCTGTCCTTGTGCCTGAATGACAATTTAAAAAAAAAAAAAAAAGAAATATGAAAATGAAGGAGCTGACCGTGCATAAAATCTACGACGTACATCACATCTTAGAAATGACTAATGTTATGTCATAAATCTGCCCTTTTTTGGAGAGATGCAGTGAAAGTGCCAATGTCAGTACCCGAAAGTGTAGATGGCCAAAATGACAGACAAGATAGCGAATAAACCAAATATCCACAGCAAATGATGTGGCCACTCTTCAGGTCCTGGTGGAGGTTTTGTGGGATCTGTGGTAAAAAGAGGGGTAGACTGTGATAAATCTTAACTGAGCAAGACAGCATCCATCTAAATACATCTGAGTGCAACTGAACGTCTGTGTTTGCGTGTAGGTGTGAGGAACCAAAATGCCTGAGGCCTGTTTTTGTTGCAAGCCTGAGTTGTTATGATGACATGGTTTCCTGTTAAAACCCAGGGGGCAGAGGGGATTTTCAGCACTAACAGCATTTAAGAGTTCCCTCTCTTCTTTTGGCTCTCTCGCACACACACACACACACACACGCATAAGTAACTGTAATATTTCACAGTTTGCATGCCAACTCACCATTATCTGGATCTGGATCTGGATCTGAACCTGAACCTGAACCTACGGGGTAAATAATATATTTTAAAAACATATTAGTAAGATAAACCTGAGATAACAAGACAAAGTTTTATAAGGCAATTTTAAAAAAGACTGAAATTGTCCATTTCCTAAAGAACTATCTGTCAGACTGCAATAAGTAAGACATAGTTTAAGTGGTCCCAATAAGCAGACAGGGAGGTGTTACAACAGGGAGGAATAACTCCTGGGGGAAAATTATTCTAAACTGAATTCTGCAAACTTTTCAGGTGTTTATAGCTATGTTAGTTGATAGTTGCCAAACAGCAAGACTTGCTTCTTTGGTTGTAAGAACTTTTGGGTAATTTAGCAGACAAATTCTTTACCAATTAAAAGTCAATACGGCCTAACACTTGCTTTCAAAATAAAAAAGACTATAAAGAATCCAACGTGATAGTGCCTAATCCAGCAGAATCTTCTTTCTCTCTTTCTCTCTCTCTTTTTTTAGAGGGCTGTTTCTTCCTTATTTTAAAAACAGGCAGGAATGAATTGACCATTAAAGAGAACAGAGAGTTGGACTGATGTTTAAAAAAAAGGGTTTTTTCACCTCAACGAGGGGAAATGCACTAATGGTACAGGGTCAATATCTTGAACCCCTAAGCCACTGAGAAACTTCTTAAACATCTTGATACTTGGGTTTCACTTCATCTCAAAAACTGAGCACATGTCACAGGATTTAAAGTTTAATTTCATTCAGCAAACATCATCAGCACAAATAAAGTCCACTCAGCTACTTCTGTGAAAACTTACACTCCTGTACTTTAAGTGCTTTAATTGAGCATATAGAATACTTACTGATAAACTTAAATATACTTATTTATTTTATTTTTTAGAGGTGTGTGCGTGTATTTATTTACCCGTTGGGGGGGTCACAAGATAAGGTGCACTCCACTCACTCCACTGACCATCATGTTCTGTCTTATACCTCAGCTGTATCAGGAAGTCAACGTCAGGTGTAGGAGTCACTACGATGGTGTAGGAGCACTCCCCTTCAAACTGCTGTACCAACATGGACACATACAGGCAAACGTCTCTATTTACTGACACAACAGAGTGTTCAACTTTTCACAACTAAGTAAAACCTTGTCTACTTACGTTTTCGCTGTGAAAGGAGATGTTTGTTTCCCCGTATTTGATCTCACAGATGAGTCTAAAATTGTGTGGCTCCTCGAAGTTTGTCGGTAAACTCCAGACCACCTTCATCATCGTCGTCATATCCTGTTCTTCCTCCAACGTCGCTGACATGATTGATGGACGCTGAGGCTTCTCTGAGGGATCAGGGACGAACATGTAAAGGTCTTGTATGTGGAATAATATGACTAGTTTAAAAGATGCCGAATTTGTCTGTAATTTACTTGAATATGAAATATTAGTCAGATATATTTCACAATTAAATGTTTTGCAATTAGGAGCATTATAACTTATCCAAAGGTACAATAATAAGTCTTTAAATCATTACTAATGTGTTTAATATAAACCAGAAGACTTTCCTAAAAATGAAAATATGCATATTTGTTTTCTTCTTGGGAAATTAGCTAGTACTCCTCTTTCATGTCTGTAGAGCAATTGTGAAACTCAATCAGAAGGCCTCTTAACTTACAGACTGGCAAGATTAACCGATAAAAACAGAACAAAACAAAACATAGACCACAAAGTGGTTTCACTTTCATGTCTAAACTTCGACTTTAAAGGGAATTTGAAGTATTTAATCTGGGAAGGTGCAACAGGACACTGTTACTCATAAACTTTTTCAACCACTTCATCAACTGGTATCTTGAATGCTTAGCCAATCTGCACATATTCAAGTCATTCATAGAGGAAGAAAAATTGGAAGCTGTATAAATGTACATGAGAGGATGTTTATGCAAAGTTTTTCATGAGAAGGTCTAATCATATGGCACAGAAACAGAAACACTACCTCGTCATGACTCTGTGTCTAGGATGGATCATTTTTCTGATTTTTTTTTCTTGGGTTTGTGTAAATTTACCTGTCCAGCTCTTAGCATAGGTGGATGGACTCCATTCACTCCATTGTCCATCAAATTCCTCTTTAGCTCTGACTTGTATCAGGTACTCAACACCAGGCATTATATCAGTGATGGTTGCTTGCCGCTGGCCATTAACCGGCAGTACCTGAATACATAAATAAAAAACAAAAATCTCTGAAACAAAACTGTGTTTTCTGTTTCATGCTGGCGTAATGAACATTGAAAAAAAAAAACATACACACTTAGTAGTTTGACAACAGGTGTCTCAGCACTGACCTGTTCGTTACCAATTGACGGTTTGACAGGGTTGTATTTAACTTCATAGATCAATTTATAGAAGTTATCTTGCACCTTCCAGGATGTCGGTAAATTCCAGGAGACCGTCAGCCTGTTCCTCTTTCCTTTCTCCTGTCGGACTGACACATTTGACGGAGGGTCTGGTTTTACTGAGGAGTGGGAACAAACACAGTGAGCACAACTTTAAAGCACTTCAGAAGGCCAATACTCAGTCCTGTCATGGACACATGTACACTTGAGCACTTACAAATTTTTAATGGTGTAAAGTACTTAAGGGGGCTGGTGACATTGCCTGTGATGCTTGTAACACACATGTAGACCAGGTGAGGGGTTCTCCGATCATCCTCAATGTGGTCCAGAGCACACCAACAGCGAGAGAGCCGAGATGAGTATGAGCATGACACTCGCTTGAATTTCTCTCTTGGACTGAGAGAAGGAAAGGAAAAGAACAGTCAGTCACACAAAGATGGACATAAAGGAAAAGAGAAAGTGGCCTACAACAACATTTCTACTACATTAGGCCCATTTACAACTTTCATACCTTCTTTTCTTTTTAATTTTTGATCTCAAGTAGTTTACTGGAAATAATATTTATTTATGTAACAACAATGTTAGCATTTTGACTGCACAAGATTACAGAAGTTTTACAACATACTCCAATATTGATCGAGAACACACCACTGTATGCACATTTCTTTATCCATGGCTTGCACACATCAGTTTTCCTGTATGTATGTAAATACAGGAGCAAAATATTACTTGATGGTCCTTTTAAAACACAACACAAAGCACTCATGGGGGACTTCAAGTGCAATGAACTCACTTTTTACTCAGCAAGAGGTAACAACTAGGCTGCTTTATGGCGGCTTTCTGAGGCATTCCTTCACAGCGGATTTTACTACTGGGCGACTTTTTGTAGCAGAACAGACTGGGAGGCTCAGGAGAATCTAAGAGATAAAGAAGACATGTAAACACACACTGTTCACCCATCCATTTTTAAAAATCAATTATCCACATAGGGTCCTCTCAGGCTCTACAGCCCTCAGGTAGCTTGTTATATTGTTGGCCTTCATGACAGCACGATTAGAAAAAGACTGAACTATGTCTTGTTTTAAGGGCTGCCAGGAGAAAGCCTCTACTCTCTTAAAAAGATCATGGCAGCATGACTTAGATTTACAAAGTGGCATGTAAACAAACCGGAAGAATTTGGGAACAATGAACTTTGGACAGACGATAGTCACAGCACCACGTTTGGTGATGCATATCAGCAACAGTCTGGCACAACAGTGGAGGCGTGATGATCTGGGCTTGTTATTTAGCCACAGGACCTGGGTGCCTTACAGATATTGAGTCAACCGTGAATACTTCTATGTAAAAAAAAAAAAAAGTATTCTAGAGTTAAATGTGAGGCTTTCTGTTTTACAGCCAAATGTTGACCCATACTGGCTCATGCAAAAGGATGACGAGCAAGCACAGCAGCAAAGCTATAACATATCTTCCTCCTCCATCACAAAGTCCTCACTATGAAAACTCACCTGCAACAATCACCTTTACGCTAAACTTTTCTTTGCCTTTGTGATGACAACTGTATTTTCCAGAGTCTTCCATTCTCACTGAGGCCAGAGTTAGCATTGTCCCACTCCTCCCAAATGTAATTTCACCCCAGTCCCTGTCTTCTGTCCCCACTGTCATCGTGTTCCACTTCCACTCAGGCATCACTTTTATCCCCCTTGTTACCCGGTTCACTCCTTCCCCCCCTTCATCCTCCTCATAGTCATCCTCAACATCTGTTTCTCCAGTGGTCCAATGAGATTCGTCCTTCAGCGATCGAGTGGCCCTGGTTGGCTGGACGATGTGAGGAGAAGTTGTGTATCCTGCATCTGAATATATGAGGCTTCTGTTTCCTCCTGCCTCTGTGAAATGAGGGCTGTAGCCCTCACTTACATTCTTCAGAGAACTGTCATCACTTTTAACTGAAACTGCACTGTTTTGTATATCATTTGGAGTGGCTGGTGTCCCGTTCGAAGAACCATCCCTTTTGTTGATGTTTAAGCTGCTTCCCTTCAGACTGATCTTTACACCATCCACCCTCACATGACCGCCACAGGTCAGAAACAGCTTACTGCCCGGCGATAAGACCAACACACCTGGAGGAGGGTCTGCAGAAAAACACACAAACACAGAATCTGTAGAACTAATAAGAACTAGTGCTTATGGTGGCTGTCATTTTTGATGTGTGTGTGTGTGTAAAAATGATAGCTTCTCATTATTTTCAGTACTGGTTGTAATCGACTAGGCACAACACAGAGCGACACATTGCATAACCTCCACCCCAACTTCCTCTTTTAACGTGTCTCTCATCTTCATCATTTCTTTTCATTCTTGTATTATATGTGCTTTGTAACATCTGTCAGTTATTTAGATTTCTAACATTCCCCGTAATGTTTCAGATTTTCTGATTCTGCTCAGACCTCACACAGTCACTTATAACCTGACATGTTTTGGTTTAGTATGACTTGCCTGAACTTGACTGGGTTGAAGTCATAGTTTCATTCCCCTTAGTCTTTAGTAAAACAAATCTTTTTGCTCTTGCCCAGTTAACCGTTGTGTCTTTTTAAACATCTGATAAGATTTTATCTCATAAATCTGATAAAATGGAGACTGAAGCTGAAGCTGATAAGGGCCTGATGTAGAGTCAACAGCCACTATGTTATATGCTGGTACTGGGTTAGTCCTTCTCTGTTCATACTGACATGATAACATCACGCAGTCGCTCCAGAAAGTTATGCTTAATTCAAACTTAAAAATAAAAATAAAACTAGATGTGAAAAAAATAGTTACTAAAAAAAAGTAGACTTTGAATTGAAATGAGCTTAAATGATTTTGTAAACTTGGAAAACTAACTAAAATAAAGTAAAAATAGAGAGAAAATATCCTTTTAACAGTTGTTAGTTTTGTGAAATTTGTTGTCACAAATTTCCTAATGAGGCTTTGACTGACTTTTTTTTTTTTTTTTTTAAAACAACAACAACTTGTTACTTGTTACTTTTAAAAAGCTCTCTCTGTCTCTGGTATATGGTTTCCAGACAACAGTCAATAAAGAAACTAAAACTGACATTGAAACTAATAAAAACTAAATTAAACAAAACATTTTCAGTAAACTGAATTAAAAACTAGAGGTCAAAATAAGATCCAAATAAAAACTAAGCTTTCATGCTGTTTATGTCTGATCCTACCATCCACATGTGCAGCAGAAATTGAAGCATCACAGCAGCCAATATTTTCTGTCCAGTTTTGATGAGCCCTGTTAATTATAGCTTCACTTTCCTCTTTTTAGCTGACAAGTGTGCTGCTGCTATAGCCTATATACTTCAACGTTCAATGTGTTGTGCATTCAGAGACCTATACACCTTCATGCTTCTGTTGTAACTAGTGAATATTTGAGTTGCTGTTTCCTTCCAATCAACCTGAAGCAGTCTGGTCATCCTCCTCTGACCTCTGGCATCAACCAGACATGTTCACCCAGAGCACTGTCGCTCACCTCATATCTTCTTATTTGAACCATTCTCTGTTTACCCTAGAGATAGATGTGTGGGAAAATCCAGGCAGATTCTGAGATACTCAAATCAACCTTTCAAGAATCACGCCACATTCAAAGTCAGCTACATCATCATCTCACATTCGGATGCTCAGTTTGAACTTCGTCAGGTCGTCTTGACCACGTCTACACGCGTAAATCCGCTCAGCTGATAAGACTGGCATAGTTGAACAGGTGTACCTAATGAAGTGGCCGATTAATTTTTGTTTGTTTGTTTTTATATGATTTTTCCTGACTCTGTGCCTATAATATTTATAAAATGTAAAGTTTACAACAAAATAAAAAAAGCTTGTAAAATTAGCTGCTACAACGCGTCACAACATTTCCCAACAGGATAAAAACGCATTTTTCGCCGAAAGAACAAAAGCGGAAAGAGCAAGAAAAAAAAAGCTTACTTTATATATTATCCTGTAATAATACAGTGAACTTCGATGAAGTAAATATTTTTAAACGCTGTGATTTTCAGTTAACTCCAAAACTAGACTCCAAAAAAAATCCCAAATTATAATAACTTTAACTTTGTCACTAAATTAGCCTAAGTTTTTGTTATTCTTAATAACAAAGTAAACAGATGAAGAAAAAAAAAATTACATTTACACAGTATGAGAGGAGAGGTTACCTTTTCTGGGACATGTTCCTTCAAAAACTCCGCTGACCGGAGCGAAGAACAGCAAAAGGAGAAAAATCCCCATTTTTACCCAGAGATCCTCCTTCCAGCGGCGGCTCCTCACACCATCGCCGCCGGCAGCAACTGTACACTGACCCCACTCAAACCTTTTACACCGTGAAAACAAGACCGAGCTATTTACACCACGAAAACCGCTTATGCAACACCAAAACTCCCTGTGCAGACAGCAAAGTTAAAGGCGGCTCTCTCTGGTTGGCTCAGTCTGCTGTCCATGAGACCCGTTATTGTGAAATCCCTGCGCTCTTCCCCTTGTTCAGCGCCGTTACACAGAGGAAATCCTCCTCAGCATCAAAATAAGCCCCCCAACCCAGCGAAAGCTGAATATAGCTCTGCTATATTAATATTCATTTATGAAAAATCTCTTAACTTAGAAAGTTCCTTAAAAATATTTTCACATATCCTGTTTTCTTACTGTAATGTTTTTAGCACATAGACCATGGCGCACGAAAGGAAAGTGGCAAATGTGGCAATACAGACTGAAGCTTTTAATATTTCATTATATATATATATATATACTGGGAGTCATTTCCACCTGAAACTTCGTTTGATGCGTAAATCATTTGCACAGACACAGCATGTTTCCCTCATGTCAAAGAGAAATCAGATTTTTATTCAATATCATTCACATCCACACTTCCACAGAGACCTGTCTCTTGCTAAAACTGTACAGTACATTCATTTAGACCAGATTTTGCAGATCACGTGAACTGTGTTTCAACTGCCTGTTGCTGACCGTAGTACAGAGAGATGTCCAAGAGCAGGTCAGTGTTCCTTTGGTTACCCTATTTAATGATTATCCAAGTCTGAGGTGCATCAACACTTGGATTAGTGGAGGGGTGGAAAAAAGAAAAGAAAAAAGGGGGCGATATTTTGGCTTTGTTAAGGCATGATTGTCCACAAACAACTTCCTTTCTTTAATTCATGAACAAAAATGAATATAAAGCACTTTACTGGAGTATATGTTTACAGTACGGATAAGCACTACTGTTCACAATGACAACAATCATGATTAGGAATTTAACATATCACTTTTTAAATTTTTTTTTAAATTTTTCTTCTACCTTTTTTTTTCTGCAGAACTGGCCTAAAGTGAAGTCTTTCCATTCTGTTCTTACGTCTGCGTTACATCAGAGGCACATTAACATGATCTGGCCTTTGTTAGACCAAAAAAAAGGCCTAGCTTTAAATCACACATAAACACATCAATGTGATGCAAAAAAAGCAAATGTGGGAAGAGTTACAGTATAACAAGTAAGAACTAAAGAAAACAGACCTTTGGGAGAATACTTTGAATTAAAATACCATTCTCATTGAGAACCTTTGCAGATAATACAGCTTGCACTTCACTGGTTAAAACTGTTATGATTCTGCTTGCTCATTCGTCTCATTACTGAGAGGTGCTGAGTGGCTTAGTTGTGAGTGAGGCTTGTGAAATAAGCAGAAACAATCTTTCAAAGGCTACTTTGACATTTGTTTCTGCACCTGCTTCTGTCCCTCAGTTATGTACTGTAAATCTCAAGCATTCATTAACATAACCACCACACACTGTGCGCTCAAATATCTCACCAGTAAATCTTAATTTATGGCTGAGAAAGTTCATGTCATAAGACGATATGTCGCTTCCTGCAGAGATCCGGATGTAACTGATGCATTTTGAGACAAGAACACTGTGCGGGTAAAGTTTTTTTTTAAATAACAGTCTTTGTGTTCTCTCCAGAAAAGCACACAGTGTGTACAGTTTGTGTGTCTGGTACACGCAGTAAATATAGAATTCATCCATCAGATGTTTACGTTTCACTTAATCTGGTTGGTTTCCTTGGCAATAGAGGTTGGGCCCGGACTGTTGGATGAACTGGCACGAGATGCAATACCCTTCCAACCAAACAGAGCTTCCTGTTGGACAAAGAAAGGAAGGTTATGTTTTAGCTTGGTGTTAGAAGAGTTGCATCACACAGATATAAAAGTGCTAGTGTGTATTGTTGCATATGTTATATAACTGTTGTGTTACTGCTACATCATAAAACCCCAAATGACCTGCACGGTCCCCAGAGAAAGGGTCCAGCCTCCAGGCGAGTCTCCCCCCTGGGACTTTGCTGCTGTGGGGGTTAAAACGCCAGAACTGGTGGCCTGAGCTGAAACTTGAGACGCAGGAGCTTCTGCATCTGGTGCCAAAGCCGGGAAGGTTTGTGTGACTGAAGCAGGGATCATCTGTGTGTTCTGAGCTGGTGCCACGACCGTTTCCTCTTCGATCGGTGTTTCTTGAGAGCCGCCCAGAACAGACGAAGAGTTTGAAAGTGGTGGAACCGACACAGAGATGAAACTGGGTGCTGGGCTGCACTCCCCTGAGGTGCTGGGGGGAGTGTGAGTATGCTTCTTCCTGCGGAGCGTGTCAATCCAGCTGGAGCTATGTCTGGAGGCAAAGGATGCCAGGGCCAGAGACGAGAGCCTCATATTTTTCCCTGATGTGATTAGCTCTCCAAAGCCTTCCTGATGGGCGAAGGCATAGCCGGATCTCCTTGAACCACCACGGGCGCCCAGACGACCCTCTGACACACTGCCGGTACCACGCCAAGCACTTCCAGTGTTACGACCTGGCGGCTTTCGTCTCTTCTGCCGCACCAGCTGAGTGTAACGAACCTGGAGAACGATGAGACAGAATATGGGACATTGTTTCAGCTTATAGGAACACGGCTAGTTCACCATAGCCACACAAATAAGATCATCCAAAAACAAAAAACAAAAAATAAATCCCCCCAAAACAAAACAAAAACTCAAACTAATATTTGCACCATTTGACAACAAAATTAAAACTGAAAGTTTCAGCGAAACTTTCAGTTTTAGGACTTCTAAACCATCACATTTTTTCAAACTTTTATGCATCCTGCCTTATTTTTAGTCTTTGTAGGCACTGCATCTATCCAGCAGTTCATCAAACTATTTCTGCTGCTTTTAAACTCATGTTTTAGGTCATCGAAACCCAGAACATTTTGCACTTAAATTAAACCAAATATCAAAATTAACCTCATCATAAAAAAATCAGTAATAGTGACTGTTGAGAAACTACATGCAAATCAAAGCAGGAACTTCTTCACAACATCTTGACATCGGCTTCGGTTGGACGCACGGCTAAGCTCAAGACATAACGTCTGATAAAGCCACACACTTATCTTGGATGAATTTACTGAAAGCAAGTCATGACATTAGGGGAAACTGATTAGGTCAATATTTGCAGGGTATTAAAGTGCACTGTGTCGGTTAGCAATAAGTCCCGACCACCCCACACAAAGACACACAAAGATAAAATGTTTTTACACATGCAGTTAATCATTGCACAGAGTTCAAACTGACGTTCTAGAAAGACTGTAAAGCATGTTGCAAGGAAGAAGATGGAGACATCAGTGTTAGAAACGCTGTGTTTTTGTGTGTTTTCTCACCGTGTCTGAGAGCTGAGGTTTGAGGTCCAGCTTGAGGAAGCGGAACGCCAAAACTGGAACTATGCATATTGCTGTTGCCAGTGCAATCGTTAACCACACGACTGGCTGCAATAATGTGCTCTGGGCACTACCTGCACTTACAAACAGACAGAGAACAGACAAATGTGTTTTAGACACGTCTTGCTTTTCACTGTGTACACATGATTATTATTATTATCTCCAACAGTAATGCATGTGGTGCAATGAAGTGATATCAGATTATACAAAATCAATCTATTCTCAGTACTGAAACTTACTTGTGTTTAGTTTTTAGACTCACAAAATAGATTTTCAATACAAAAAATGGAAGTATGTAAATTATCAATGAAAACAAATTGGTGTTGGCAGAATGATATCGGCTAAGAAGAATTACAGTATTTGATTTGCTGGTACACATGTGGCTGAGAAATGGGAGCAGGGACGAACCTACAAAGTGGAACTGATTAGGAAAGATCCTGAAGAGGGTCTGACTGTGCAGAGCAAACATGATGATGAAATAGGAGCCCAGAGAGCCCCACACAAACACATGGTTGAACACTGTCCAGAAGCCGGTATCGAGAACAATCTACAAACACAGACATGCAAACAAAACAAAACAAAAAGAATAAACCCCCAGAAAACAGCAGATGCTCACAGTTAATATGCCACTCCTGAACAATTAATTGTTATACAACACTGAGCTTGCCACTTCCCTGCATTTCTTTATATTTTGCTAGTAAAATGGGAAACAGGTGCAGCGGTTTATTGAAATCTGTGCAAATATACATGGAAATACAGGATATAAGCATTAATACACAATTCTAATGAGTTTGAAAATTAATATTGTGTATGACCATCTTTAATCTTCATCTCAGCCTGAGCTCTCTTAGACAAGCTTTCTTGTAATTTCTTTAAGTAGTCTTCAGGAATATTTCTCCAGGCTTCTTTAAGTAGAGCCTCAAAGCTCTACTTTGGATCTTGGCTTCCTTTTGTTCTGTTCTCTGTTGACATGATCCCACAATCCTTCAGTAATGTTGAGATCTGAGCTCTGGGGAGGCCAGTCCATGACTCATAGTGTTTTTTTAGGTGCACCTTTACTGCATTCCCAGTGTCTTTGGGATCACTGTCATGCTGAAAAATGAAGCTGTTGCCAATCAGATGCTTTCCCGATGGTACTGCATGGCGGGTCAAAATCTGATGGCACTTTTCCGGCGTTTCATCAATTTTGACAAGTTCTCCAACACCACTGGTTGAAATGCTGCTATAAACCATGACGGAGTCTCCACCATGTTTTATAGATGACTCACTGTTCTCCGTACGTATTGATGATGATTTGAAACAAAAATTTCACATTTGGATTCATCCTTCCATAAAGCCTGAAGCCACTGATTATTTAAGTTCAGTTCATGTGTAATTTGGCATACTTCTTCTTAAGGAAGAGAGAGTTTCTCATCCACTGAGACCACTTTTGATGAACAGTAGATGGCTAAACTGCAGCGCCAGATGCATCTATATTTCTTCACGATGTTATTTTCAATACAAATGAAAAAAAAGATCCTTCTCTGAAAGTAATTAGGTACAAAGACTAGATGAGAAGAAACTGGGAATGTAATTTAAAGAAAAACCTTGCAAGACCAGAAATGACAGAAAGTCTGGCTCCTTTGAAGTAAAATATAAAGAAATGAGGGGTGGCTCAACACTTTTGCACAGCACTCTGTGAGACAGTCGCCTGCTTAAAGCACTCTACAGTTCCTCACCTGTACACTGACCACAATAACCAGGGCTGTCGCTGTGGTGACTGCAAAGGTCTGGTAGTCAGCGAGGGGTACTCCGTTGCTCTGAGTGGCATTGGACAGGACAGCATATGGAACAAAAAACAGCACCACTGATGTGTAGATGCCCTGGGCAATGCAGATGAAGAACTCTCTCTTGTTGAAGAGGAGGTTGAGCTGCCCGGGCTCATACAACTTTGGATATTCCAAACTTCTGTGATCAGGAACATCCTGCATTCATAGAGGAAGTGAGACGCTGCGTTTACTAAAATAACATTATATAGAAACTACAGCCAAAAATTGTGGCTTGGTGTTCTGAGCAAAATGCTAACATCAGCATGTGAAAACAGTTCCATATTTCACGCTAATCCTGAGTACTGTCACCTCAGTTAAAAGGATGTGGTGTTGAACTTGATTGTCTGGGACCTTTTTGTGTCTGTTCTAGTTTTCTCCCACAATGTGTGCAGTATTTTTAGCAATGGTCCAACGTGATAGACTCTGGCCAAAAACGTGTCTTATATACTTTTTTTTTTAAATTCATGAGGCAGATTTCAAATGCAAAAGAAAATTTTTTTCTGATTCATGAAACTTCATGGAGTTTTATAAAAATGAAATGTAAAATAAAATCTTATGAGAGCTCAATACAAAGGAATAAATGTGAAAGACCTGGTCAAATATCCCCATGGCCAGCACAGGGAGGGAGGTGTAGACAATGTTGAAGAGTGTGATGAAGTACTGATCGTATACAGTCTACAAAAAAAACCACACACAGACAGAGTTATAATCATGACTGTAACTCTTTATACTATGCTTTTATCATAACCTCTACTCTCTGACCTGGGCAGAAAAACCACAGAAGAAGCCAAACCAGAAGTGCACCATGGTGAAGGCAAAGTTCTTGTAGAAGAAGTAGCAGAGGAAACGGCACATACGCAGGTAGGACCAGCGGCCGTGGACCAGCAGGAGGCGCTGTAGAAAGCGGAACTGGGAAAAGGAGTAGTCACTGGCTAGCACAGCCTGGATGCCCTCCTGACCTGAGATACCAACTCCAATATGAGCACCTGGAAGCGTGCAGATGAAATGAAAAGACAAATTCAAGAGATTTTTTCCCCCAGTTTTCTATACAGACAGTGCTGGGAAAAAGGATTTGACCCCTTCCTGATGTCTTAGTTTTTATACATATTTGTCACACTTACACGTTTCAGATGATCAAAGAAATTTTACTTTCACTAGACAACTCTAAATCTTTCATTTTTTTGTGTGTTTTTTGAGCCACTCAGAGGTGGACTTGCTGTGTGTTAATTGTCCTGGTGCATAACCCAAGTGAGCCTGAGCTTCAGGGCACGAACTGATGGCTGGAGATTCTTCTTCAGCAGAGAGCAGAATTTAGGCTTCCATGAATTATGGCAAGTCGTCCTGAAGCAGCAAATCAACCCCAGATCACAGTACAACCACCATGTGTGATTATTGGTATGATGTCCTTTTTATGAAAAGCTGTGTTAGTTTTATGCCAAAGGCACTCAAGCCTTTAAAAAAGTTCAACTTTTGTCTCATCAGTCCACAGAATATTTTCACAAAAGAGATCATCAAGATGTTTTTGATAATTGATGTTTTTGAAACAAGCCTTTGTGTTCTTTTTGGTCACTAGTGGTTTTTTAACTTTTGAATTCACCCATTGATGCCATTTTTGTTGAATCTCTTTCTTATTGTTGACTCACAAACTCTGATCTTAACTGAAGCAAATGAGGCCTGCAGTCTCATATTGAAATTTCTTTGATCCTTTGAAACACGATGAGTGTGACAAATATGCAAAGAACTAAGAAACCAGAATGGGGCAAACACTTATTTGCCCCAGTGTAGACAATGGTAAAAGTTTCACACTGTTTTTTTTTCTCAGATGTGTATGATATCAATGAGAGGGGAAAACCAAAATGGTCATCCAAAGCACTCAGCTTTGACACCTCACACGCCTACTGTTCAAACCTTCTGTTTATCAAGGGCAGACAGTCAGAAGAAAGACTGAAATAAAACAACTGTTGCATAAAGGACCAGAGCATAATAATAAATAAATATTATTATTATAAACTGTGAATAATATAAAGCTACTTGCAGAGTCCAAGAGTAAAGAAATAGAGTACAGGGACATATGGACACAACAGGTTACCTTTAGGCCCTGCTGTCTGTATTTTACACAATCTAATAAGTGAAAACTGTGGCAAAAGCTAACTCTAGCTAATAAAACTTTATCATTTTCTAACGGAGAACCTTTCCTCTCGGTTATGAGCTATAGTTAATGCCATGTTGAATAACTTAGCAACGTTAGCATGCTCATTACCTTCCTGTCGAGAACACTAATGCCACATAACATTATGTGGAGGAAGAAAGCGGTAGCCAGAAAATGTTTTCACAACTTGGGAACCCAAGGTTCCCACAAACTTCCCACAAACTTCCCACTAACTGCTGGTAACTGATTGGGAAACCAGCATTACCATCAGTAAAACCATAATTCTCAGTTTAACTGGATTATGTGTTCCATTTTCAATAGCTGGACAAAAAGAGCACAAGGGGGGAAAACGTTTGATTGTTTCGAGATTTTTAAATCAGAAATTACAGGAAGTGAACCAATCCTCTTCCTCACTACTGCACTGATTGCATTTCTGTTTTGCACTTGCATGCAGATATGTAGACATGATGTACATCCACAGACAAACACACACAGGCTGATGCACTTACAACACACTGATTACAAGACATGCAGAGAAACAGAGTGCTGAGGTATTAATAGTTTTCTCTTTTAGTTTGCCTTTAAGCTTAGAAATAAATATTATGAAGCAATGATTGACAGTATAGTTCAGTCTTAGTACAATTATTTGTACAATGAACAGTTCAAACACAAGCCTCCTTTCCATTAAACACAAATACGTTTTCTTCTAAACATCTTTTCAAAGCTTAACAGGACATATTTGGTGTTTTGGGATTTTAGGAGTGACACTAAAATTAAATGTGACTTCTGTCGATTTGTTTTGTTTGTTGGCGTCACATCCATCTATAAGCAGTGAACAAATCATTTTTAATAAGGCCTAAAAGAACACTGACAACCAAACCTTTACCTCAGGAGGAGTCCTGCAACACAGATTTCCACATGACCTACATCACTACTAGGAACAGCGTGCAGATAAACAACTTCTACAGCCGTACTTCTGCTTAGGATTTCCATTGCTTAAAAGTAGACAAGCCACCCAAATGGCTAAACCCAACTTCTCTCTTCTTTTCTGAAAACAATATTTCAGTTACACTTTTGCACAACTCACTTTTGATCATGCTGATGTCATTAGCACCGTCTCCTATAGCCAGCGTGACGGCCTTCTTGTGCTTCTTGATGAGCTCCACCACCTGAGCTTTTTGCAGTGGCGTGACTCTGCAGCAGATGACCGCTTTGCACGCGCACGCTGTCGACACAAACTCTGCCTCCATGTCTGCTTCGAGAGCGTGGGCCTACCACAAGACAACGGAGAGAGGTTTTAGACGTTCAGGCGGTAAAAGGAGTCCAAGTTGCTGCTTTGAAGAAAAGTACTTAATGAGAAAGAATTGTTTTTATGTAACTAAGCTTAAATTTCCATGACAGATATCATGCAGGAGTGTTATTCATACCAGACTGTGACCGTTGATTACGAGGGCAAACTCTCCTGAGATGTTGTCCATTAAGTTAGAGAGAGGCAGAGGAGGAGGAAGGGGAGAGCCATGCAGCTGCTTCCCCACTCCTCCTCCTCTTCCACTTCCGCCTGCCGTATCACCTCCTTCTTGTCCTTCTTTGAATCCATTTCCATTGAAACATGGCTCCCCCCATCCCTGCATTCCCTCCTCTTTAACTCCATCTCTGGTACGTGACAGCTCAATCATCCTTTCCCTCGCTCTTCTAGAGAGGAAGACAAACAAAGCCCACATCAACAGTGTCTATCTGCATCACAGAGACATAATTACATGACAACATGATCATGCACAGCAAAAAAAAGAGATCTGAGTGTGGGATAAGGAATATAGACTCAAAAAAGCAAGTACATAGGGGATAGTTGGAAAAGTAACATGGATGTGAAGAAGATTAGTGATAATGGCAGGTTTTATCCTGAGCCTGATATTCCAATATAGGCTCTTTATAACTTGAGTAATTGCACTTTCCAAGTGAATTTGAACATTGCACAAAGAACATCAAAATACCAATTTAGAGTTTTGTCTTTGAAAGATAATTTTATTCTTTGGCTGTTTTGTTTTTTGACTCTCAAAGTGTCTTCTTTGCACCATTACACTGGATTTGCTCACTTTCTAAAAAAAAAAAAGAAAAAAGACTGACTTCATAGTTAAGGGGTATGTTGCAATGCTGCTCATATTTAACCTTGGGAGTTCTCAGCCATAATCAGTGATGACTGGGACTCTAACCCTTTGCTATCAGTTCATGTCATTTTGAATTGATCACTGAAGTCTGGGAAAAATCTCTTTAAATGATTCCTTTTTGCTTTTATCTAAAATGTCAGGGTCATGAATCAGTCCTTACAGGGTGAGCTGGATGATTTGACTAGAAATGAGTCAAGAAGCTCTGGTCACTGTCGAGTGATTCTCACAGAGTAGTTGGAACATTTTGCTACCACACCTACCGACTTCAATCATGCATACATTTCTTAGTTTCTGCCCGCCCGTCATCTGGAGTTTGGCATTTATCTAGATCCCACAGTGTACAGTCTAGTACAGTGTGCACATAACCAGACTGACCTGAGTTCTTGCCGTACGCTCTGGACGGTGTGGCCACTGATGATGAAAACCTCGGTCATATCATCTGTCAGCATCTTGCAGGAGTAGCCTATGTTTACAGCCGTTTCTGTGTGAAGGAATGGGAGAGGATCTAACAAATACAAGTGCTGCTTCAGTTAAAAGCTATTTGCTAATGTACTGCTCGTCATTTCAGCTACTTCTCCCTTTGCAGGCATGCCTCTGGCCTTATACTATAATAGCTGCTGCAGGCATGTCAGTCAACATGTCCCTTTATTTTTCATTCACTGCACTCATTCCTACAGCCTACGGTCCTTTGGTGATGACAGAATACATAATAAACTTCCAGAAATTAATTTTTCCAGTGCTAGCCCAGTAAATAGGTTCAGACTACAAAAGCAAGAGGGGTGTAGCAGTACTGTATGTTTACATGAATGACAATACACCCACACAGTCAAGGTGCAAATAGATGCACTGATGCTTAAAGTTTTCAGTTTCAACAACCTCCTCATCACAAGGATGCTGCTCTATAATTACTTTAAATTTTGCAGATTCTTTTAAACCCTTGTCTAAACGGTTTAAATGTTTTAAACATGCACACTAAGTTCTGAAAGCTGGTGCAAAACTGTGTGCATCTCACCCTGTTTATCTCCAGTAAGAACCCAGATTTTAATGTTAGCCAGAGAGAGGACAGCGATGGTCTCTGGAACGCCTTCCTGCAGCTTGTCCTCTATAGCAGTGGCACCCAGAAGCTAGAACCACAGGCCGAGAGAGAGAGAAACACAAACAAATAAATGTCATATTTAAGGAAATTTAAGACGGGCTTAAATGCAATTTTTGTGATAACACTATGAGTAGAAAATCCAAACTCAAAAGCATATGTGTGCTCCAAATATAGAAAGTAAAAGAAAGGAATTTCCCTCAAACTGCTTAAGTTTCAGTGATCCCAACAAGTTCCCCTTGCTCATTGCAACATTTTTACTTTATTTGAACTTACATGAAGGGCAAATGGGCCCACACACACACACACACACACACACACACACACACACACACACACACACACACACACGCAATAAATAAGACACATTATCTTGATACAGATTCATACATTATCTGAAAATAAACTCACTGACCATCATATTTTGTTCTATTTCCTCATAAGCTGCTGCCAGTCTATCCTCCCTGCAGTCTGTGGCCTTATCAGCAAAGCGGTGGCTCTCTGACCAGGCCTCCCATTCATCCTCTGACAGGTCCCTGTAGGCCAGAGCCAGGGTCCGTAACCCATCTGCTGCATACTCCTAGCACCAAAATTATACACATAAACATGTAGAAAAACAAAAATAAACAGCAGGGACATTAATAATCACATGACTAAGAATTAAGTAGTGTTGTTTGATGATTTTTAACTTATACTTAATCTAAGAAATGTGTCCTGCCATGATGAGGTTGACTGTCTCATTAGGAGAAGGTAAATAAAAATAAAATGCTGTTAAAAGTTGTTTTAAAGTGTGGAGACTCTAGATGGCAGTGCAGCTCAAGCCATCCGTCCAAGAGCTGACTTACATTGAGGTGGTCTGAAGTAATACTCATCACTTCCTGGTTACAAGGGTGGAGTCTTTCCAACAGAACAGTGTCAGCTCCTTTACAGTAGAGACGAATCCTGCCCTCTGGGTTACGTACTGAAAATAAAAAAGAGAGAAATGAAGAAAAAAACAATCTCAGCAATTCAGACAATTTTTCCATCACCTTTACAATAACGGAAGAACTCTTCAACAAAGGCCACCGGTAGTCTTTATAATTATGGGTGTATGTGTGTGTCCTCAGAGCCTGGCAGCAGAGGTAAAAGTAATTTATGACCAGAGGTCAAATTTACAGCATATTCATCCATTCATCCAATTCAGGTTCACTTGTTTTGGGCTGGAGCATATTTCAGCTGTAATGGGTCTAGAGGTGAGATACACCCTACACAGGTCACCAGGTTATTGCAGGGCCGCCACAGAGAGACAGACAATCATACACGTTCACGGGCAGTCCAGAATCACCAGTTAACCTAACATGCACGTCTTTGGACTGTGGGAGGAAGCCAGAGTAACCCACTTCACACAGAAAGACCAAAAAACCCTGAAAACAAAGGTTAAAACCCAGAACTTTTATGTAACAATGTGGCAACAAAGATAAAGATTGCACCACAATGCCATCCTGTACAACAGCACTGTACAGCCATACCAGTTTCTGCTATGGCAAGCTGTTAAGTGATTGTCTTGTGACATTGCAGATACACGTGGCCCTGAAAGGTCGAATGCACTGCAACTTACGAAAACACAAACAGAAAAATGCTGCAAAAGCACACAATGCACAATGAAAGTTAAAAAACCGAAAGCTCACAAAACAAGACAATAATGTGACGTAAGTGACAGAAACCAAAATATGTGGAGGATTGCACTGAGACACGCTTGAAATAAGCCAATGATTTATAAGTGTTGTTTTTGCATAATTGTTTCCTTTTCCATTGTGTGCTTTTGTAGAATTTTTCTATTTACTGGTGTTTTCTTATGTTGCTGTGCATTTGACCTCTCGGGGCCACCATACACAGGTCATCCAGGAAAGTTAAAAACATGAAGAAAAAGCACACATTCTTCAATAACGTGGCTCTGAGTAAGTACAAGTGGTTATTTTCTTAAGCCAACACTGCTGAGTGATTTTTTAGCTTCTTTCTTTTTTTTCTTCTTTTTAAATATAAACTAAAAATATTCAGATTATTATTATTATTTTTTTGTAGTTAAATCAGAAGAAAAGGCACGGATTGCTGCATACCTATAACAGACATTCGCTTGCGTATGTTGTTGAAGTCCAGTATGGCGAGCAGCGAGTAGGTGACGGTGCGTCCCATTTCTGTGGTGGTTATCGTCCCAGGTGTTCGGGAGCGAAACACAAAGCCAAAGTTTCGAGCCGCCGTCACTAAAGCGCCCTCGTCTGGAGACTGAGCCTTATAAACCAGCTCTCCTGTGCAGGCAGGTAAAACAGTCGTTAAATATTATACGATAACAAATGAGCAGATGTTGAGTTTTGATGTCATTATTTGCTGTTTTGCAGCTTCTCTCTTTTTTTAAGCTCACCCTCACTTTTCTCCTCACTCATAACAGTGTGACAGAGGGAGAGCAAGCGGAAAAACTCATGAGTGCACGAGTCTCCCACTTTCACTGATTCCAGCAGCTTGTCATCATAGAAGCAGAAGTCTGGGTCCGCCAGCGGGTTGAAGGGACTGAAGTCCAGCCTCTGAAGACAAATGAGTGATAAATAAAATCACAGGTGATAACAGACATGCATGTGATCTATGATTTATCAAGAAATACTCATACGCACCTTTGGCTGAGTTTCCAGTGGGTCTGTTAGATCACCTGACAAACACATCGGTACCACATGTATGAGGTCTGATATACGTATATCACGTATATACATACGGTCTCTGCTACATGCACATGTATTGTGTGTGTCCTTACCGTAACTCTGTCCATTGATGGAGCACTTATTGAACGTCATGATGTTCTGAGTGAGCGTTCCAGTCTTGTCACTGAAGATGTATTCAACCTAGGATCATTTTAGGAGTATATAACTACTGAAAGCAAAGCACGATGGATGGATTTGCAGAGTACAGAGTGAGTCTGGACACTTACTTGTCCCAGTTCCTCGTTCAGAGTGGTGGTCCTGGCCTCAGCTGCTGTGTTACATTGTGAGCAGAACATCTGTTGGTCCCAGTTAATGAAGTATCTGTGACCGAGCCTGATCACCTCCACACTGAAGCAGGCGAGGAAGGGGAGAGGTTACAAACTCCGAGCCGTTCACAGTTTAAAATAAATGTAACTAAGTAAGCACAGAACAATACAAAGATTTTCTGGCCAAATACATTTGGCATGCAGTCAGTGCAGTTCACTGAGTTACTGATTACTAAGGACCAGATCTCTGCATACACAGTAAGATTGTGTGCATGTAAAGACAGAAAAGCATGTAGTGATTTTTTAAAATCACGTTTATACAGCTGTGTGCATGTTCCTCTTTTCTAAATCTCAGTCATTATGAAATTTACACATGTGCACAACTCTCATTTCCACTTCTCTGACTGGATATAGACACCAATACTTTCAATACTTGCACTCGTATTTGCACCTGAAGCTGTCTGGAAAACAAAAGACCACAACTAGCTTGACTTCTGGAGACACAAACAGAAGAAAAACTCTCGTAAGTGAAAAATAATTGGGGCCATTGTACCGCTAGGCACCAGCGTTTTACAGCACTAATATTACCAATGAATGACTGCAATAAGAGGACTGATAAAACCAAGTACACGATAAATTTTCAATGATGTTTGCAAATGGCAAACACTATCTCCAACTGCTGCTTTATATTAATTGCTGTCTAATCTTTATCTCTACTTCCAAGTATTGTGGTTGACTTTCTATGTAAAGTTGGGAACACGCATGGTCACAAGTCCAGTATTATGCAAATTGTTGTGCAACCCATCATTTCTTGATATTTTGAAGTACAGCCATCTATTGACACACAGATTGCAAGATATAAGGAAGAAGTAAAGTTTATAAATGTTTATATATATGTGTGTGTGTGTGTTTAAATCCAGGTATGCTTTAACTGCTTTGGCAGTGTGTTTGGGATCACTGAAATGCTGAAACCAAGACAGAGCCTCGACTGTGTTTTACAGATGGCTGTAGACACTGTTGTATCTCTCTCTTTACCTGCTGTGAACATCTTGATTTGAACGGTCACTGTGAAAATTTCATATTTGGATTCATCACTCCATCAGACTTGTTGCCACTTCTTAACAGCTGCACTACTATTGAGGCCATTTCTAATGAAGCTTCAGAGAACAGCAGACGCTTCTTTTAGGTCCTGCGTCAGGTCTTTGCTTTGTCTTTTCCAATTCCATAAGGACTTTCAGATGCTATTCATCTGTTGTAGATAGTTCATTTTAGTTGTTGAGGTGTTAGGTTTTGAGTTAGTCGTCATTTTTATGTTTTAATGATTAACAAACACACAAAAACAAGCACTCCTACGAACATTGTCAGGTACACGGACTGGACTGAAAATGAGTGAAAAAGAAGCTAATGTCCAAAGAAACACTATAAATGATTTTCAGAAAGTCTGGAGCACTTTTGCTCAAGACCACTTGAGCAAAAGTAAGCAAAATATGAGGAAATGAGGGTTGGCTTAAGACTTTTGCACAGTATTCTATCCATGAGGTCCATACATTCTTTCTTTATAAACACCAGTTTATATGTGGGAAGGGCAAACACAGGGTTTTTGTCTGTAAGCATCATTTATATATTCTTATAGAACTATTGTTTTCTTCCTACCTGACATATAGAGAGATAGGCACGACGGTATTAAGAATGATGACGTAGGACCAAAAGGAGAGGAAGGCCGAGAACAGGAAGTTATTCACAGGAGTGTCCCAAGCCAGGTAGCTCTGGAACAAGGACCCCACCTCTTTCTCCCACCCTGCATTACCCACAGCCAGGATCATACCCATGCACACCAGGAAGCCAAATATCTGACAGAAAATGGACACAGACGAAAAAGTAGAGAGTAAATAAATGAATTTTACAGTAAGATCTGTAGTCATTTAAGCCTAAGTTAGAACAGAATACATCACTAGTGTAGATATATGAAACTAAATTCAAGCCAGTGAGATCATCTCCTGAAATAGTTATGAGCTATGAAAATGAGAAGTGTGGGATGTCCTACCCAGAGGACCAGTGTGTTCATCAATCGATCGATACTCGTACGCTTAAACTTGGTGCGACCGCTGTTCTGCATTAGCTTGGTGTCTGGGCCTGGCAAACAGAAACAGGGTAAGACTTGCAACATACAGCAAATGCATTATTTTTCTGTGCAAACATGCACACACCTACCTGCAAAGATGACCAGGCCATAGCAAGCCTCTGTGTTGCGGAGCACACATCCTCGGAGGAGCATGTTCTGATTGGTCAGGCTGTATTTCTTCTCTCTCCAGTACAGAGTCCCGGAAAAACGATCCAGCTTGTTGTTGGGAGGCTCACACACCACCTCGCCTTCACACAAAGAAGAGTGTGGACAAGCAAAAATACAAAAATGTAAATTAGATGCTCATTCATAGTCATCTGAATCCAGTCACTGCTATGTTTTCAGAATTGAATTAATCACCCGGATGACATTACGCTGTTGTCGTGCACCTGAACACGTGCACAGAGGGAGGATCACACACCTTTTGTAAGCTGATGTCAGGCAAAACGTGAGCAGATTTGCTGCAGTAATGCATTTTCCCGAGCAGGTGAGGAGTGTGTGGGTGTGATGTGCTGACACAGTGATGCGGTGGCTGTGTGATAGGCTGCCATTCACTGGTGGTGGAGCGGTACAGAAAGTGTGTGTCTCTGTTTGTGTGTATGTGTGAATTTTAGTGTGCATTTGTTATCAGAAATGTGCATTAGCATGATTCTCCTCCTAACTCACCGTCAAATGAAGCCAAGTTGTTCGGGTCTCCAAGTTCAGATGTCACTGACACAGACTGACGCACCTTCATATTGGTCTCTCTGCAAGATAAAACCACACACAGCAGTTTAGATGTAGTGTTGCGTTCCTTCTGCAGATTTTAGGGTTTTTTTGGTCACGCGAACAGATGTTGAGGTGCAGTGTGTTTTCTGACCCGTCTAGCTCGGCTGTCTCGATGTAACAGAGACCATGAGGTTCAGTGCTAGACAACAGGAGCAGGTCAGCCTGAAAATGGATACAACAGCTGAGATTAGCATCAGCACGGTCAACATGGACTGAACTAGAAAAGCGCTGATGACAGAGCAACGACTGTTTGCATCTATTACAGCTACAAGAAAAGGCAGAATAATTGCAACTGAAAGCATGTTAGTGATTAAATGTAGCACTTCTAATGAGGCACATAATGCATTACAATCCATTTAGCATCAGAGCTTGTGGTCTACTGAAAGCTATTATGATCAAACAGAGGTCTAAAAACACGAGGAGATGCTGGTGCTGAACACTAAGCTGTTGTAATGGTAGATAAATGGGCCTTTTCGGACTACTGATCACTATGTTTTCTTTTGTTTCTGTGCTGGGTGCACACTTACTGCCACAAACTGGTTGTTTTCCAGTTTAATAATATCACCCACTCGAACATTCATCCACTTTTCATTTTGAAGCCTGGAAGAGCAAAACGAAGAGAAACAGTAAAAAAAAAAAAGAAGTAGCGGATGCTGCTCTATTTTAAGAAACCTCTTAAATCAAGATGGGTAAAATCTGAACAGGTAAGTTGTCAGATGTAATGACTCACGAGCCACGGATGAGGACCTGAGACTGACGATTGTTCACTTGGTTGTCGCTCTTGTGACGAAACTGGAGATGACAAAAGGCAACGTGTAGTAGAAATACAGACTCGTATCTGTGCCTGTGGTGCATGAAAACATACTCACGTAGTCATCCGTGGCATCCTTTACTGCAGTGATGCTCAGCACCAGAGCTAAAGGCACGATGGTGGTGAACCAGGAGAGGGAGGAGATCTGAGGTATCAACTAAACACAGGGAGACAAAGCTTATTATGCAAATTACTTTTAAAAAGGAAGACAAAGGCAGTGGAAGATACAGAGATAGCTACGTCTAACCCCAGCCACATCAAAGACAGCTTGTTATGATGGTGAGTGTACCTGATGGTACAAAATCGTGGTAAGACAGTACCAAGGAGGCAAAAACAACAAAGCTACAGTACACTGGTTTGTTTGGGTAGTTTTAAAATAAGCATTTGTTCAATAATAGACCCCTAACTTCACCAGAGTGTTAGGAACCAAACCGTGCTTTTAGTTTAACTATAAAATAATATAACATTTTGGGGCTTTGAAATGAGTTTAAAGGAGCTGAGGGGGTATGATTTCATTTTATCTAGCAAGGTTTAAGATTGCAACTAACTCAATATCTCTAGCCTAATGAACAGGAGAACTTACAGTGGCTTCTAAAAATCCAAAAACATAAAATAATCAACAGCAGCTCTGTTAGCCTGGACTTAAAATCAGCATCCTCACTGCCCCACAGTCACGTGCTAATGATGTGCAGGTTTCCCTGCATACCATTTGATTACACACTCATTTACTATTATTTAAAATATTGATAATTGATAACATGCCATCACTACAATCATACAGTAGAGTGCCAAAGTACTGCACGTAATGAAATTTTGCTGCTGGTGTGCAGAAAAGGTTCCAAGGATCAGCGGGGTTCAGCCTCTGGTGCGTGTGTTTTTCTGGCTTTATTATGACAGGAAAGCTAGAGGAGAGAACAGGGGGAAGAGGCGCAGCAAGTGGCCTTGGGCCTCTGGTCTGGCCTTACAGCATATAGTTTGCCTCATTCACACAATGAGCAAACTGTGTGTATGAATTTTCATGTTACTCCATCTACTAGACATTATGACATTATCAAGAGGCAGTTGTTGCCAGTGAAATGTGTTTGAAATGATTTTTTATGAAAATAACTAATCTCATATTCCGCATGGATGTTTTTTTCATCTTATTCTCAAGTGCAGGAAACTGTGAGGCTCACTACTTCCCTGAAAGTCTTTTATTAATAGCTTATTTTCCATTTCTACAACAGATTAGATCAGCCATTTGGAATTTGAATGTACCAATATTCATCTAATTTTGTACCACCAAACTTTAACTAACAGTTACTGATCACGGTCCTTTAAGGGCGTTAACTAGAAAATCATGTGCCCCTTATGCCTCCTGTCTGTCTTTGATTTCTCACCTGTAGTATGAGCAGGAAAAGAAAGTAGGTGTTGGCTACTTCCTGGAACTGCTCAAACAGATTGACGGGCAGAAACGTGATGATGTTGTACTTGGATGTCATGATGCAGTTACTCTGGAGGATTAGGAGGGAAGAAAATACCTCTCAGTTAAATTGCTTTATGAGTATAAATATTTCGAATATGTACAATAGAAAACAGCAAACTCTCTTACGGCATACTGAAACTTTTCGTTGTACTCTCTGTCATTGGCTCTGACCCTTCTCTCCTCCTCTGTGGAAACAGAGCACACAAGATGAGTCATTACGGCATCAAAACAAACACATGCAGTAAGTCTGCATAAGAACGAATTTTTAGCATGTCTGGCAAACTGCAGAGTTTAAAAATGTCGGCACTATTCACAGCTTCCTAAAACCTGGAAACAAAAGACAGGGAATCAAGCAGTGCAATCAAGACGTTCATTGTCATATACACCCCAAAACACAGTGGTTACACTGAGCAATGATTGTTTTACTTTGTGAGTTGCCCTCACAGTAAAATAAATAACTACACTAAAAAAAAAAGAAAAGAGTAATAAGCATAGAAAAACAAATAAGACAAATGAAGTAGTATGTACAGAAGGCTCAATTGTGGTTAGAATATAAAGTACAAGATACTTATGGATGCTATCTTACTTACTAATGGTAATGGACATTCAGAATGTATGAGTGTTATTATATAAAACTGTATTATATTGTGTGCAATTGCAGTTGTACCGGTCAGTATGGAAGAAAACAGCCGGCAGTGTTGAAGCATGTATTCATACTTTTGTGCACCCCTCCTCCTGACCTTGCACTTTATCCTATTGCTGTTTTAAGCTTTCTGTTATGCTGATGCAAAGTAGGTTGGGAGTTCCCCTCCTCATCTTCCTCCAATACCAGTTGCTTCTCTTCTAATATTAATGAAATGGCTTTTAAAATGAAATGAATGGTCATTTTGAACAGGGTTGCACACACACACACACATGCACACCAAAGTAATAATATCCAAGACCAAGCGCATGTTTTGTGCACAAAAGCACAGTGCTTAGCATACTTTTGACAGATTTGTGAAAGGCAGTGAGGTGCCACAGGAAGGGACATCACACAACAGAAACCGATAGGCTATAATCAAATGCCGGCACATAAACAAAGACACTGTGGTTTCCTGTGTTTCTGCAGCACGGTGAAGCTTTCGCACTGCTCATAACCTACATCTTTGTCCCTGCTGCATTCAGCTTCACCAAAAGAGACAGAGGCCACTTAAAGTGATCCCATTAGAGCTGCACTTTACCGTCAGGTTATAAGACAGATCTGATGTGACAGATTAGCTCTGGTCGGCTTTAGACCAGCTGCGCCTTTGTCAGGGTTGTTTTAGTAAATTTAGAAAAACACGTTACGTCCACTTATTGCTGATGGTGTTGAGTGAGACTGACAATGAGAGGGACACTAGCAGAAATGATTACATCATTGTTTGTTATGTTGATAAAATATTGGCATATTTAAATGTTTTTTGCTCCGGTTTATTAAAGAGGTCAGTTCACAACTACGGTCCCCATATGGAAAAGATATATATAAATCTTATAAAGTTTTTATCTGTCTTGTATGAAACTTGTATGAAAAGCATACAAGAGTGAAAACACATATAAGATCCCTTGAAAATTATATAATGAAACTTGTATGTTTTGTATATTTACTAAAAAAATATATGAAAGTAATGAGAAAGTGGCCACTTTCATGAGTAAATCATATATGTTTTTACTATTTCTTTTCCATATGGGTCACCTCATGGTGCTTTACACTGTAAAGCAAGGACCATACAACATTATAGAAATAACCCCAACAATGCAATAATTTCCGGTAAAGTGCTTGTTAGGCTGGCAACTCCCTGTTACCACATAGAGACCTCAAGCAGAACCACGCTCAGTGAAGAGTAACTATCTGCCAGGACCGGAAAAAGAAGGCCGAGAAAACAAAAGCATGGTCAAAATTTGTTGCACAGTGCCCTGAAAAAGCATTTGCCCCTTCCCAATTTCTTTTTTTAATATATTTGTCTAACATTCAACAATTTGGGGGTTCAGTATCTCACCCAAGGACACTCTGGCATGCAGACAGAAAAAGTGCAGGATTGAACCACTGCCCTTCTGATTAATAGATAACCTGCACTACCTCCTGAGCCAAAGCCACAAAACCAGATTTAGATATTTTTGCGTGACTTGTAAAAGATTGCCCATGCTGGAAAACCATCCAGTGCGACTAAATTAAAACAATTCTACGAAGAAGAGTGGACCATAATTCCTCCACAGTGATGTTAACGCAAGTAAATACAAAACTGTAGTCTTTAACTTTGTTCATTATTAAAATTTGTTTGTATGATCCAAAGCATGTAAGTGTGACAAAGCCCCCAGGAAGAGGCAAATTGTTTTTCATTGTTTCCAAAAGCAAGTGAGTTACTTTTGTTTTTAATATTCCTATCTGTCACTGCGGCTGTTGTTGAGTAGCACGATTTATTAGAAAAAAAATCTAAATAGTTACATAAGAAAAATTATTTTAGGCATCAACTTCCCTTTCTTGGAGTTTCTATCTGACAGATGTGAGATTTCTGGGTGCATGCAAAAAAGCTGTGAATGTGATTGTGCACAATCCACAAACTTTTCCACTCCCTCTGGCATTTCTCCTCCTAAGACGAAGGTCATCGTGCTGTTTTCTGAGACAAATGTCCACCAGAGAGATCTGTCTGACGTGCAGTGCCAAGCCTGCTGGGAAAAGCCAAGATCCTTGTGCCAGCTAAGCACCAATGTGAAGTCAGGACCAGCCTGTGTCTGTCCCAGCCACTGCTGTGCAAGCTGAACACCTCAGCCTAAATGCATGAGCATCTTTAACAAACTGCTCAGTAAGTGTTTAATGTCTCTGACAACTTCAAGGGCATTAGAAGCCCTGACGCAAGCTGCACACCATACAGTAAACCTGCGTGAATCTATAAAGCTCCATTACGGAGAAACTTTCAGTGGCAGCCTTACTTTCAGCATAAGGTTTCCATAAAGGGCTGAGACACAAACGAGTTAATATATATTGATTTAAACTAAAATAACTAATGTCATATAGAAAGAGTAACTGTAACCTAATACAAAAGCACTAATTTTGTTTCATCTACCTTCCTGTCTCTTTAACACTGTCTCTGCTCATGGCTGGACATGTGAGGACACAATCTCCTTACGTCTCCACAAGCGACACACTCGCACAACAGAGTTAGTGCAGATTGAATTCAGAACAATAACGACCACAGTCATTCAATGTGAATTGCAGTACGGGAAGCGCTAATGTCCCTGCCACGACTAAAACCAAGTCAGGGTCAGATCAGACTGCGGAGAAGTGAGCATCACTCACAGTGGCTGATCTAATTAGGTGAAAAGGGGATAGCGGAGTCGTGTGCAGCCCGGCACGCGCATACGGTGATCTAATTTACTGGAAAACAATGCTAGTGACACAGTCAGAGAATGATGGAGTGGAGGTCAAATGAAGGTGCACATCCAGGGTGATTTGAGATAGTTAACCTAAGGAATAAGAATACAGATGGAGCAGTGCAGAGGAGGGCTGGCGCCTGAATGATTGATCAGGGACTCACGCAGCAGAGACATGAACATCAGCCACATGAACATCAGCCACATATTTAGACAGGACCCAAGCAAAACTCTGGTGTTTGGCATAATTCACTGACGTAACAGAGATTCACTGTCAGCACGAAACACCGGAAAACAGCTGAGATTAAGCAACTAGTTTAAGGCTGTTGGGGTCAACTCCAAAAGATACAGACTGAAGTGTGAAATCAGAAGAACAACAGATATCTCTCTGTTATCAAATCTTAGGAGAATGCTGATGTGTAAAAACGTGAACAGTCACTGATGACACAAAGTGCTACAGTGCAAAAAACCCCAAACAAACCAACTAGGTCTGTGATGCAGAGATGTAATATGACACATATGCAAAAGAGAGTGAGACAGAGATGAAGCAGCAGGAATGAGACTTGGACTCAGATGGGATGAAGATGAGAGATGATATTTATTAGGAAACAAATAAATAAATAGTTTGCACGATGAACAGCCTCCTGGCGGTGAAGACAGTAAAAACTTCTTCCCAACTTCAGCCTTAATTTTCCCCGCACAGACTCGTACCTGTCCGCCTCTTTTTCGATTTTCTTCCATCCAGTCCTCTCTTTTTCTTTCCTTGCAGGGGGAAAAAAACGACTGGAAACCATTTCTCCGGGATGTCTTTGAGCACTGTCATCTTAAATTTCTTTAAGTCACAGTGTGATTTTTTTTTTCCTTTTTAAATCGCTGGATATGCGCTGTTTCAGTAACAAGTCACAGCCACATCTGACCGTCACGTCTCCGCAAGGACGCGCGCACGAAGCTCCGGCCCCAGCTCAGTCAAGTTAGATTAGAGACTCAGTCCCAGTCTCTGTTGCTTATTGCTCCATCCCCTCCCCCAAAATATACACACGTGCACGCGATGTCCACCCCTTGCTGATTTGTCTTCCTCCTTCCGCGGGATCAGTGATGTCATCTTTTTTTTCTAATTAGGAAAATAAAGCGCAGGGCTCGGACCTGTATTTTCTGTGAACATCGTGCTTTATGTGAAGTTTGCAGGAACGATGTCAAACAGTGCAGCGTCATCAAACCAAGTATCCTCACTGCATCCTCACTGTCAGCCTCATCCGAAACATAAACACTGATGCTCATGTAGGCATTACGCAATCTCAAAGGCGAGAGGCGTTACCATGGAAGCCGCATTACCACGGGTCCTACAGCCGAAACTGGTCGCCATTTTGGATCCAAAGTCGTTTTTTCGTGTGTGGAGTCCAATTGTCGTTTGGCGCCAAAATGTCCGGTGCAGGAGTTCAGTGTCCTGCGTGATCCTAACGTTAGGTGTGCCGCAGTGGGAAGGGCCAGACAGGTGCCCGGGCACGTGCTGAGCGGCGATCCTCGTGTTGAGGCTGAGGCTCTCCCTGATCTGTATGTGAAGCATGCGCCTGAGAAACCAAAACAAAGCACCGCGGGGGGCGAACAGGCAACTTCCTCTACAAACAGCAGGTTGTTTTGGCACATGAAGAGTTAGTTTACACCTATCAGAACTGATTTGACGGGGCAGGAATTATGGATGGGGACTGATGACGGCAAGGTACAACAATTACATTATGGCAGTCTCTTTAATGACCTGCAATGCATCACTGATGAAACCACTTCACTTTGATCAGCATCTGCAGGTGTCTTGTATTCAGAGATCATGAGCTCTGATTTGACTTTTTCTTTTCAGAGATGAGCGCACACAGATCGTGTGAAGGCTTAGGGATAGATAGATGAAAGCACGGCTAATACTTCTGTATGACTCTGAGTGTGATTGGGTGAATGAGACTGCAGTAGAAAGCGATTTGAGAGCTCAAATTGAATAGAAAGGCAGTATATAAATACCATAGGCCACTTACCACCTAATCAATAATGGCAATTCATTCATTCATTCATTCATTCAACATTAGTCAGGTTTTTACCATGCATAAATCTCGTATTTCACCTGTACCTAATCTCTATTCTTTTCTTGTATTCTAATAATTTGCATTTTCTGCTTACACCAGTGCCTCTTCTCCAAACGAGCATCAACTGCAGTCAAAACACCCGCTTTACAAAACCGTCAGACTGTGAGAACAGAGAACTTTTCTCATTTCTCACTTTCTCTAATCTGTGCCTCCTAGTCTCCCCTTTCCTCTGTCGTCTTGCTTCTGGCCCTGAAATCCATGTCAGTGCGCCTCACTGAAGGACGTCTCAGCTCCTAAAATGCATCTGGAGGACTGAGGAGAGAGGAGGCTTGCCAGAAAAGATGTGTCCTTTGCAGGAGCGTGTTTAATTTAACACAAAGCGGTGTCACACAGCTGGGATATATGCAACAAACTCTACAGTCCTTTCAGTCCATACGCCGTTCAGTTATTTAACTGTGTGATCAAACTTTCAGCCCTTCACAGTTTGTGTGGGTTTGATTAAAAATCTTTTCACATTGGGTTACGGCTCCAGGATGTCTCATTTTGTTAAAGTGCTCTCTCTCCCTCGCCTCCTCTGTTCATCTTTCTGATGGGAAGGACCAAGATGAGAGGAATTGAGAATGCAGGAAATGAGAAATGAGAAAGGGGACAGTATGACTTGTTTGGAGATCCTTTGTTAGTGTTCACTAGCTTGAAGTAGTACTCTGGTTCTGTGCGGACTTAGCACACACCTGAGACACTTGGCGTTTTCCCAATTATTTTTTCGGGGTCTGAAAAGGGACTTCTCATGGCTAAAATGCCTCTCGGTGCTTGGAGCCTGAGTCAGGCATTACCATACATCTACATCAATGCCACATCTATCCAGTTCAGGGTCGCAGAGAGGCTGGGAGCCTATCCCAGCTGATGCAGGGCAAGGTGTACCCTGGACAGGTTGCTAGTCTATTGCAGGGCTAACAACCATTCACACCTACGGCCATATTTATAATCCCAGAGTAACCAAACAAGAACATTACTAGTATATAGATTCTTTATTGTCATTGTGCAGCTTGTACAATGAAAGTCTTTTCGATGGCAGTCTTTCTCACAGCAGCGTATAGAACTAATAAAATAAAAAGAATAAAAAGGAAAATTACTAGACAACAAGACAATAAATACCAGGAGAGAGTCTGCACTGGTACAGCGATAACATGCAAAGTCCACACACAAAGCAACCAATGTGCTGCCCCATCGGGTTTAAGAGCAAGCAGTGAGCTATAAATAACTTATATAGTTAATTTAATAATAATTCGGGAACCTCTTTTGTTTTATTAACCACAGAAGCATTTAATGATACTGTCAAACTATGTAAAATAAGTTGTGGCAGATGGATCCCCCAATCTGAGCCTGGTTCTGCTGCAGGTTTCTTCCTGTTTAAAGGGAGTTTTTCCTTCCCACTGTCTCCAAGTACTTGCTCAGAAGGGGTTGTCTGGCTGTTGGGATTTCTCTCTATTATTTTAGGGTCCTTATCTTACAATATAAAGTCATGTGAGTCAAATGTTATTGTGATTTGGTGAATTATAAATAAAATTGAATTGAACTGAAGGCTAAAGCTGTGTTCGGCCAGGGTTTGTGAAAACTTCTTCTATCTTTCAGTCATTTCCATCTGGTTGTTTTAGAGCCCCCCACCCTCCCCTCCAGAGAACTGGTGTCATAATACATTGTCTGTCTGGGAATCTGCAGATGAGCTTCAGTAATAAGTGCTGTTTAATACATTATGATAGTCTGAAATGTATTCAATGTTTGTTTTCCAGCATATTGTTCTGCCTGTAGATAAATATGTGAATGCATTCTTGCTATCGTGCAGCATGCATCACACCTTCCATGTCTACGTTGTCATTTGGTTAACTGCATTTCTCATTGTCAAGCCACACTGGATGAAACTAGTTTAACTGCAGATGTGATTAATGTACTGACCTGGGGGAGGCCTCTTTCTGAACATCTCCACTCTGCTGGTGTCCTTCTGCTCTGGCCCATGGGACTGTCTGCCAAGGGAAAGAAGGGAGGTGGGTGAGACTGAGGAGGATACAGGGGAGACTACAGAGCTGACTGTCTACAGAGCATGAGCACGAAAAAAAGTGAAATGAGAGCCATACAAATGTGATTGTGCATGGAAGGGAAATAGCTTTTTCAGTTTCAAGCCAAACCACGGCCAGGTGATGCAACCTACTTACTGTAATGTTTCTTTTTTTTTCTTTTCACAGCTTTGCCCTCCTAGTTAGACAGTGAAAATCAGTCAAGCATTAAAACCACTGCACAACACGACATATGCGCGCACACACACACGCGCACACACACACACACACACACACACACACACACACACCAGGCTCTCTCTGGTCTCTTTTGAGCCATAACGAGGATATGACATTCAACAGAGAGCTGCATCTGTCTCTGTAGCACACTGTCTCTGGTGGCTGGGGCCAGATCCACTGTCAGCCTCTCCCTATAGTGGATCAGAGTAATGGAGCAGCATTTTTTGCATGCATAGCACTGTTAAGCATCTTCTCTTCTCTCCTGTCATCATTTATGCTGACCTATTAATATCACACACCTCACTGCTTTTATTCACTCTTTTACCACAGCTAAGTACATGGGCTAAAAGGCATGACAGGTGAGGCATTATAATCTTTGCCTTGCCTTTGTTGTGGATACTACAAGATACACACAATATGACAGTCAGGGGTAGCTGACTGGGAGCCAGCATCCAATCAATACTCCTGAGAAAGAGCTGCTTTGTTTTTCTCCATGTGAGCTGAGCTGATCAGTTTTCAGCTAGAGTTCCCAACATTATCTCTCAGCCTGACGTACAGTCCCCTTTTTCCATGTCCTCTGCTCACTTTCCACCCTATATATACCACCCATTTATAATTCTAACAGGTACTAATGAGTGAGAGTGTTTGCCATGTGCTTGCACATCTCTCCACACACACGCACACACACACACTCTCCATCTGTGAGTGGCATCTTCTATAACCCACAGGACCAAAGAAATGCCATTATGAAATAACGCTGGCAGCCAGGGGAGTGAGGGCACAGTAAATATCCAAACACCTTTCTTGGCCTCTGAGCAGAATTCCTTTCTTTGCTCCTGCTGGATTTAGGCTTATGTATCAGAGGATTTGAAGCTCAGAAATTCATTATTACGCTATTTTACAGTGTTGTTAATCACCTAAAAAGCTAAAATTTGAGATACAGCAGGATAATAACTCAGCCTGCTGGGATGTAATTAGGGAAATGGTCAGAAGGGACCTGCTAGGTTCAATTTGATCCATGCTATAGAACAGATTTTACAGTTCTTTTCAATAATGTATTGCAATCACTTATTTTTCTATAGCTGCATGCAAGCCTGCTGAAATAAATCTCAAGATCACCACTTTCATGTCAAAACTTTCGTAAGGAAGCACAGAACATGAAACCGAAACAACAAAAGATTAAAAGATAACTAACAAAGTTAGGTTATTATGCAATGAGCCTGCTAACAGACCAGGCTATGTATTTCCTGAGGCAAAATTAAATGACTTGGTTTTTCCTCGTGTCTTGTAGGCGGTGCATCGCTTTGAAATGATCTGCTCCCAGTATGTGCTATAGTCTCCGTGCCTCCTCTACACATGGTCACATCAAAGCATTCTGCAGGCAAAGCACTGGCACCGCTATAGCACACCTTACGTACATGAAATCTGCATTATGTTCTATCACAGTAATGTTACAAACGCCACAAAACTGCCTTTTATTAACAATGTCATCAGGAAGCCAACAAAGTGGAACACTTTCAGAGTTAAACCAGCATACACTTGATGTTCTGATAACAGGCTGTGCAGGCTGTAACCTTCTTTTACACAATGCCTGTCTGATTCAACACCTTTCAAACCATGCACTCCATTACAAGACTGATCTGTTTGATACCATAATAAATACTAACTTGCTAACAACATGTTGCGCTGTCTGCTGACAATGCAACCCGTTCAAAGAAAAAGCAACAACACTGCTGTATGCCACTGAGGCTACTTCCAGAAGGAATAAAAAGCACAGCATTGGTTTAATATTCTCCACTGTATGCTTACGCACTCAGGACATTATCTGTGTGCTTTAGGATATTTGCTCCTCTCCACAAGTATGTAAATAAACACTGATGTAGCTTTAAGTATAGCTGCACAGCATCCCATTAAAAATAATGCTATCATAGGTAAAAGCCATCAGGCTCTGCCTTGGATGTAGTCGTTTATTAAATAAGCTTACTGTACCACAAAGCTCACGGCCCTGGTTTAAGTAACCTTAAGAGCGAATGCTTTCAGTCTAGTGATGCTCGCCACAGTGGCGGGACTGAGTTTCACTTTGAGTTTGGAAATGTTATTATGACTAATACCGACATACAGGAACTCTGTGCCTACTGCAGAGGTGTGAGGGTGAAACTAGCCGTACCTACTGTACAGGATGAGCCTGGTCACACTGGAGCAGCAATAAGAGCTGAACGCTTCACAAGCAAAGCGAGACTCGCGTCAATATTTACAGAGGATAGAGAGACTACATAGCAAATCCTCATGACCATGTTAGAAGAAGATGATGATGATAGGGAGCAGCTACCCAAAGCTATGAGAGAACAGCATAGGGATCTTACCTTGGCAACTTTGCGTTATAAACAGGGTTTCTGAGACGTCCTCGCTGCTCCTGTCGCTGAGGTCATGATGAGGTCTGGGGGATGAAAAGGCGACGCTATGTGATATATGATAAAGGCCAGTGAGGTGGGAGGGGGGAGACAGGCACCGTGCAGAGGTAAGGGAGGGTTTGGCTTCAGCTGCCGGAGAGGAGAAGAAGGAGCAGGAGGAGGGGTTGCACCTCCTTCACTTTCTCCTCTCTCTGAACTTCCTGCAATCAGGAAGCCAACATCACACCGGACAACCCATAGGTGTTTTACTTCTGTATTTAATGTGGCAGCACAGTCTTGCGGCATTTCACTCATGCTGTTTGCACGTGCTGACGGCACGCTACCCGTTTTTAACACTTTAAACTTGATAAACAGTCGCTCCTTCCCTCAGCAGCCTGAACACACCTCATCGCCTTTCAAGCGTTTTATTTGGTCTCTGTGTTATATCGCCCTCTACAGGTCTGTCAGCGCCATCTCCTCCAACATCTTTGTAAGCCTCCACTCATTTCGTACAACCAGGTGTGGGAAGTCTGATTTTCTGATTAATTATTTATAGTGAACTTAACTGATGAAGATTTGTGGCTGCTTTGCTACAAGTTGCTCCAACTTATTTTGGAAAACTCTGGTCAACATTACTGAGACTTTGCCTCGGGTTTAATAATTTAAGGGTTCAGCCTAAAAGTGGTGCATTACATTGAAACTTATAACTATTCATTCTGAATTATTCTTGGACACTTTTGAAGGTAACATTGTAATGTGTGCCCGACTCAGTTGAGTTTCACAAAGGCGAAAAGAACAGCATATTCCATTAATATCATTGCGAGGCGTGAAATAATACAGAACAAAGTCTGCAGAGGTGTGAGGCTGTTTGATCCCAGAATCCCTCTCTGCTGATCACAGAACAGTGTTACCCTTTGCCCAGTGAGCTTTGGCCCAAAGAACATGCTGGATCATGTTCAGACAGCTTCTTTGCAGTTATTGAGCTGTAACCTGCACTTGTGGACAGGAGGGTGAACTGCGTTCACAGACAGCGATTTTTGGAAGTGTACCTGAGGCCCTGCAGGGATTGTCATGACAAAAAAATATCACACCCAAAAGGGCCTGAAGATTACAGTCATCTAGTACTGAGCTTCACACTGTCACGATCCTGCGTCTCTGACCCAGCGTGTTCAGTTTGAGTTCTTAAGTTATCCCTTTATATGTTGAGTAAATTTGATTATCTTTTGGTTGCCTTTAGTTTATGTTTCACTTAGGTCTTCTGTGTTAGTCTGTCATGTTTCTTGTCTTCTTGTCCATGTTGTGAAATTGTATTGTCATGTCTGCTTTACCATCTTGTTTCTTGCTTTATTTTGAAGGTCTGGGTCCTATGTCAGTGTAGCCAGCTTTGCTTCCTTTGTGTTATGTCAGATTAGTGTCAGCTGTTTCCCCATGTGTTTCCACTTCCCCTAATCACCCTTGTGTGTATTTAGTCTTTCTCTTCATTCTTTGTCAGGTTGTTTGTTGTCCTTTGTGCCACATTTCTGTGTCTCATGCTCCAGATTCCAGGTATCTGTGTTTCCACGTCAGGTTCCATGTTTGGTTTTTTAATGTTTATCTTTAGTTTCCCCAGTTTATTTTTTAGCTTCATCTCCACCTTTTGTTGTGTAGTTTATACCAGCCTTAATAAACGGCTCACTTTCTGTTAACATTCAAGTTTTGTCCACGTTCCTTGATGTCTGCATTTTGGGTCCTCTTCGCAAATTCATACAGTGTGCTGCCACAGTGTGTTGCCGCATACTGTGACTGGGCAGAGGTTTCTCTGGATTTTTTGATATTACAAATAAAAACCTAAAGTGGAGTATTATTCTGAAATTCTTCCACAAATTACTGTAAGTTTTTTGCAGGTTGGTAAATCTCCGCCCAACTTTGCTCCTAAAAAATTCTCCAAGATGCTCTTTTTTTATATATCACTCAAGTTACTGACCTCTTTCCATTTAAACCAGTTAGTTACATGAGGTTGTAAGTATTATTGTGAGTCCACTGAACTAAATTAAAACCAAGTAATTATTTTAAAAGTGACATTTACTTCAAATAAACGCCCGCAAAAAAACAAACCATCTACTCCGATGATATCCTGCCCCCCAGAAAAGAAAAACAAAACAAAAACGACGCCCCCCAAAATAAGTTAAAACATTCCACCGCACTGCTGCCAATAGTCAGTTTAATTCATTCACATGTGGGTACATACACTGCAAGCAAGTTGGGTGTCAGTCCTGCTAAGAATTAAAGATATGAGTCACCTGTAGCAGATTTAGGGAAAGACAAGTGGCAGGAAAAAAAAAAAGTTGGTTAGTCCTCACAATTAGCAATCCAAGTTTTTTTTGTAGTACAACTCAAGAAAGAAAATTCAAAAGACAAGTCACTTCAATGAACGTCGCAAAACATGTTTAAAACAAACAAACATTTGAAACGGACATCAGTTTCATTTTTTAAATCTTAACAAACAACCAAACCCTTAATCTCACCACCCAAATGCCCAAAGACACACGTTAAAGAAAAATAAACTCTTGTCATCATTCGATCCAGCTCTAAAAGTCCTTTACTGTAGCACAAACTCACTCATGCCAGAGCGAGTCCATCGTCTCTTGGAGCTTCCACAGATAAGAGCTGCCTTGCCCTCCTCAGTGTGCTTTCAAGACTTCTCTGCCAATCACACAACAGAGAGCATCAAACTTCCAGGTGGCACTCGTTACAAGATTTACAAATCACTGCACTCTATTCATTTTGCACAGAATCCCAACATGTTTTGGGAATGAGGGTTGTTTTCAATGCCATCAGCAAAAAACACTGAGGTAGCATAATTAATACACAACAGAACAAAGTGAAATGGAGAATCAGCACAGACCATGAAGATTGTTCATGCTTTTTCCTCTAATCTCCTCCTAGATCCCTCAGTAGTTTGAAATGAGAATAATTTGTTCAATTTACATAAAATAATGTGTATATATATATATATATATATATATATATGTTTATTCTCTCTATCTATTGATAGATAGATAGATATCTCCTTTATGAGAGCACAGAAACCTAAAAACACTGAAAAAAACGTATCTACAGTGTTCCTCAAATACTACATGCATCTCTTGACAGACTAATGTATAAAATTCATAATTATCATCAAGGGGAAACAAGACACGGGTTAAACAAAAAAAACATAAAACAGGGGAATAAAACATAACAGGAAAAAAAATAAAAGTAAAACCTTTTCACAAATATTAAGTCATAGCTAAGCATGAATGTTTGGTGTTGTTTTCTATAAAAGTGAAATATTTGCAGGCTGAAATGCCAAAATGTGAATGCGTTAAAACAACAGAGGGGAGTAAAATAGACCAGCCAGTGAACTAAGATGGATTTCACTGTTTAAATCTACATAGTCCTCTATATCTGATTTACAAAGAGGTGAACATGCTAGCAGTTTTCTCAGCTACAAAGTCAAAAAAGGACACACAGTGATTATTATACTAAACACACATTTCATTGTAAACAAACAGCTTTATCTTATGACTAATACATATCTCTGTTGGCTGTGTTTAAGGAGCAAACAGCTACATCATTTGAAAGAAGATATTCCTTTTTGTTTTTTCTAACAGTAGAAAAATAGTTTCAGCGTTAAACTTTAAAAATTCACAGCCTTTAACTCATCTCCTTTTTTTTTTCAAGTTTTTCACTGATGGTGGAAATCCTCTCAAGTTGGTCTGGGTCAGGCAGCTGCCAGTCGATAAAGATGAGATACATCAAACTACCAAAAACGGCTCCAACAAGCGGAGCCACCAATGGTACCCAGAACCAGTAGTTGTAACACCTGCAGAACAAAGAGCAGCAGGACATCACGGTTAAAGACTGAAGATTCATTATTTTTTAACAAGTTTTTCTTCGATAGAAGAATTTATCACAGTGAAAAAAAAACCCAGAGAGTAGTATATTAAATATTTAAATATTAAACTTCACTCAGAGTTCTTTAGTCTAAGATCAGCAGTTTTTGTTTTGTAGGTCAACACCTTCCATCAAGATCATTTCCATAGAAAACCAGGTCCGATTAATCTATCTGCAGCCATCAGCAGTGTTGTTCATGTTACTTGAAAAAATTAGTAACTAATTACTGATTACTTCTCCAAAAAAGTAATCCCGTTACTTTAATAATTACTTATTTTCAGAATTAATTAGTTACTTTTTAAAAAACATGATACACAACCTGAATAGGTAATAAAGCAATAGGCCTTTCAGCCCAATTCTAGTTTTTTCTGCATACTCCATCATATAAAATGTAATCAAATGAAAGTCTCTTTATAAAAATTGTTTAAATCTTTTAACTTTTTGCACATTGCATCTTGCAAAAATTAAATTATATGCAACAGTCTTTGACTTGAAGAAATTTGTTTAACATTTAAACTTATTTTCTGCATATTCCAGCATATAAGTAAAACTATTTTTTGTGTTTACACTCACTCTTTCAAAGAGATGCAAGTAAAACATAGCAGAAAATAAATAAAATCAAAAACTCAGTCGTCCTGTTGCTCTTAAATCTATTTTCACCTGTTTAGCAGGAGCGGAGCAGGCGGAGGTTTGCCCGGTGCCGTTTCTTCTCACGCATTGTACAGCGGACGCTAAAGTTTTTGTCACTTTTTACGTAATCAAACTCAAAGTAATGTCAGCTTCTATATGTTATCCATGGTTGATCATTGATCTGCACACGTCCGTTACCACAAACATCACACGCGCTTACATCATTGTCATGAGACACTCTCGCAAAAAAAAAAAAAATCACGGTCTAGTAACGCAGTAACGCAGCGTGCTTATGGGAAAGTAACAGTAATCTAATTCCTTTTTTGCAATAGTAATCCCTTCCTTTACTCGTTACTTGAAAGGGTAATCGCGTTACTGCGATCAGTAACAAAAACAATCTGTTATTTCTGATACAGCTGAACAATAAGCTGAAAGGCCTGATAATAATTAATCAAGAAGCTATAACTCAACTCGGATGAGATAAATTCCTCTTTGTCTGTTTAATAAAAGCCTTACGTGTTGATCTTATGTTAAATTTGTGTTTCTCTTGGCCTGTTTTGGTGTTTTTCGGCCCATAGTGTTAAAACGCAGCTTTAAGTGTTTAAGACACTGTGCACTGAGCATTTGTGGAACCACACGTCTCACAGGATCATAAGATTATAAAGAGAAAACAGCTGTTTCAAGGAAAAACCCTCAGGATAACTCTTCCATTGTCCAACAATCTTTGACATACTTTTGTGAAATTAAGACATAAACAAAGTTTAAATAAAACCAATAACTTAAGCAGATAAGATACTTACGTGAAGACCTCAGTCCCCCAGCCTGCAGCTAGGGTAAAGAGGCGAGGCCCCAGGTCCCGAGCAGGATTTATGGCAGCACCACAGTTAGCCGACATTGAAATGGAGATCCCCAGAACGACAGCTGACACTACAACAGGAACCAGCTCAGAGGGAGCCGGGGTGTTCCTCTTTTCCTCCAAACCCAGGATACACAACAGCAACATGCCGGTGCCCACTACCTGAAATGTCAACTCATTACGTTACGTACGGGAGCAGCTGCTAAAAGATCAAATCCTGTTAATAATTATACTCACTTGGTCAAAGAAACTTCTGCCCACAGAAAGGTAGTCAGAGGGGTATGTGGCAAATATCGAGGCAGTCTCATTCCTGCCGTACACAGTCAACACTCCTCCACTAAAAGTCATTATGGCATCTGCGACCGAAACAGAGGTGTTGCAGGAAACAAAACAAACTATTTTTTTTAATTTATATGTCACAAAAATTAAAAAGACAAACCATAGTAGACGAGATAGACAACCCCCGACGCCACGAAAGCCCCCACCACCTGGAAGAGGGAATATGGCACGAGCCTCGACCAGGACACCTTCCCCAAAACACAGAAACTCAGGGTCACCGCTGGGTTCAGATGGGCACCTGCAGGGATGTAGGGTACATATTTAGAGAAGGATACAGGAAGGTGAAAGTTAAAAATGAAGGTAATTAGACACACTGGCAGGTGATCGTGTCTCTGATTATCTGTGTTATTGGTGCCATATAGTATCATATAACAGTGGATTGTCAAAGGTATAAGCCAAAGCAAACACTTTGCAAAAGAAAGTGGATAATGCTTATTTGTAGAGAGCTCTGGTGATAAATTTTGTGTACTCATTTAATAACTGCAATAAAAGTCATAATTACCTGAGGGATTTTAGACTGTGCAGAGCATATTGTAATGAGTTTAAATGTAATACTATGTAAAAAAAAAAAAAATGTTAGTGCCCATTATGGATATCTTTAAATTCTTACCTGAGATGCCCTTGGTGAGATACATGGCTGACATAACACCCACAGAGAAGGCCATGTTGCCAGATAGAAACTGGCCTTTAGTCTCATTGCTGGTTTTTACTTGCGCAGCAGCAGCGCAGCCAAAGAACTTTGTTGCAGATAAAGAGGACAGAGAAGGTGGAAGGTGCGTGAGAAGTCAGAAGTTACTGCAAAACTCAGGTGAACAAAGAAACGAGATTTTCCATAGCTAAAAATCCTGACATCAAAACTAACTTAAATAGACGTAGAGGAAAGCACATGAGCAAATTTCAGTATATCTTTCTTGACTAACTTATTGATAAACAGAGACAAATTTGTTCTTGTTAAAGTGTAATTTAATGCCCTCCTCTTTAGACTTTGTAATGACCCGTGTTATCTGACTTGTTATCTGAATGACCATGTAAGGGACAGTATGGCTGTTACATTGGGATCTCTCTCACACACACACACACACACACACACACACACACACACA